GCTGTAGCTCCATATGGCAGTAAGGCAGTAAGGCTCCTATCAGCTGTAGCTCCGTAAGGCAGTAAGGCTCCTATCAGCTGTAGCTCCGTAAGGCAGTAAGGCTCCTATCAGCTGTAGCTCCGTATGGCAGTAAGGCTCCTATCAGCTGTAGCTCCGTATGGCAGTAAGGCAGTAAGGCTCCTATCAGCTGTAGCTCCGTATGGCAGTAAGGCTCCTATCAGCTGTAGCTCCGTATGGCAGTAAGGCAGTAAGGCTCCTATCAGCTGTAGCTCCGTATGGCAGTAAGGCAGTAAGGCTCCTATCAGCTGTAGCTCCGTATGGCAGTAAGGCAGTAAGGCTCCTATCAGCTGTAGCTCCGTATGGCAGTAAGGCTCCTATCAGTTGTAACTCCGGAAGGCAGTAAGGCTCCTATCAGCTGTAGCTCCGTAAGGCAGTAAAGCTGGCCTGCGGTCAGTGACTCAGATTTCCATCGGCTGTAACTCTGGAACACAGTAACGCACATCTGAAGACACTGGTGTGTTCAATTAGTCCTGATTGGTGAATTCAGAAGACGTCATTCTCCACACCAAAATCCACCAATATTACACATCGGGGTTTTATTTCTAAAGCTTATAACTTCAGAAGTGGAGCTCTCAGATGATTTAATGCAGGTTCAGACTGTCCAGCTGATTAGTGTAAAATCTCAGTCCTGACTGTGTCCGTCAGTGGGCAGTGTAGACCATGAGCACGGAAAGTGAAAGAAAGTGAGATATTAGAGGGTTTTTTTTTTATCTTGGCAGGTAATTTTTACTATAAATTACATTAAAATCTGTCACATAACTGTGATTGACTTAGCAGAGCTAAATCTGTGAAAGATTCACAGTCAGATCTCGATCTGTTTCATTGCTCTTGACTTTGGAGTTTCATTGCATAGACGGACGTCATCGATAACTGTGCAAATTACCCTGGTGGACAAATTACTTGATTTGTGAAAATAATCACAAACAGATTTTGTGATATTTTATTGTTTTATACAGGTCTAGTTCCATTACCATGCATACAAAACTCAGTATTTGTATTATTCACCCAGTCATTTACATGTGAGAACATGAAAACAGGCTAGAATTGTTTGTCAGCCAGTGATTAAAAGATTTTGCATAAAAAAGCTGAAAAATATGTAATTTTAATTTTAACTTTGGAACACAGTTTAATACACATACACTACCAGTAATCATGCAGTGCTGGTTATTAGCTGATTTGTGAAAACTTTCACAAACAAACTTTGGTATATTTGAGTGATTTTTACAGCTCTGCTCACATTTTCATGTGTAATAATTTAGCATTTGGGGCAAATATAGAACATTAATGCATATAGCTTTGATTAATGATAATGTAAGATAACAGCAAACAAACTTATCTTTCTGATTTGTGAAATATTTCACGATTATATTTATGTTTATCAGTCTTTTATTAAGAAGTTTTGGCAGTAAGAAGCTGCTATTTGACTCTGAAACACTGTAGTCTTCTTTTTACAGTTTTCTGGTCCGCCTTAAATGCTGCAGTCATAATCACTGTACCGTCATAACAAATAGTTTTGCTAACAAAAAGAGAAGTTATGATGTGTCATAGCTAATAATAGCGCTATTAGTAGGGAACTATATGATGCACAAAAGCTCATGTGAGATGAAAAATGTGGAAAAAATTGTAGTGATATCAGGGCCAGAGGGCCAGTTGCAGGCTGACCCAAAGCAACATTTAGACTAAAAGTAAAAAGATTTGCTTTATTAAACATGAAAGAATAGGAGGAGTAAGATTAGGACCCTCTAAAATGATCTGAGATTTGAACTTGAATTGAGACCAAGGGTCCCGAGTGTTCTTCATCATTAAAGAACCCTGATCTGTTGTACTAAAGGGTCTAAATGTCTTGCATGGACCTGCATACAGAAGCATAGTATATAACACACAGCACAGTTATGTGCAGTAGCTGCGGGAGTGTGCGACTCACTCAGTGAGTGAGAAACTCTTTTCCCTCACAGACAGAAATCTGTCTCGGGGGTCAGTTGTGTTCTGACGCTGATTGTTCTTCTTTCTTTGAGAAAAGGGTCAGTAGAGTGTTATGAAAAATCCTTTTGTGTATAAGTAGAAAAAGGCCGCTTGTCTGTCAGCAGTACTGCATGTGTTTACAAAGTGTCTTACAGGTGTTTGGGTGGTTTATACCTGTTCACTCGCCCTGTGGAGTCATGTAGTTCATTTATTCGTTGAATTTGAATTTGAGTCTTAAGTACATGGAGACACATCAGTGTTATGGTTTGTGGTGATCAGCAGTGCAATACAGATAAAAAAGACAGTAAAACAAACACTTTTAATTCATTTACACAGAGCAGCTGTGCTCTCCAGCAGGAGCCCTTTTACTGAACTGTAGCCGCTGTAGTGCCCTTAATTTCAACAGAGGGGCAAAAAACGCACAAACCATCTCTGCGTCTTGCAGTAAATGCCGTCATATCTCAGTTTTCGCTCTTGTCGTTCAGCTTTAGCACTTTGTGGGGCTTAACACTGTTTAGAAGTGTTTTGGGACTGTTCAATAAAAAGGGCTGCATTTTGTGGTTATGCTGCTGGACAGTTAGGTCCATAAATATTTGCATGTTGACAGTGATGGTTATCCTAGGTGTCCAGCTCAACGTATTGGAGTTGAAATTAAATAATGAATATGCAGACTTTCAGCTGTAATGTGAGGGTATTTACATCCGAATTGGGTGAGTGGTGTAGGAATTAGAACCATTTTCATACATAGCCCTCCCTTTTTAGGAGATCAGAAGTAATTGGACAAACTAACAATCCTTTGCAGTCAATGACTGCCTGAAGTCTGGAGCCCATGCACGTCACGAGATGCTGGGTTTCTTCACCAGTGATGCTCCGTCAGACCTTCACTGCAGCGAGCTTCGGTTCCTGCATGTTCCTGGGCTGTTCTATCTCCAGTGACGCCTTAAATAAGTGAAATGCATGCTTGATTGGATCGGGGTCAGGTGATTGATTAGGCCATTGCAGAACATTCCTCTTATTGGCACTAAAAACTCTTGGACTGTTTTTGCAGTGTGCGTCAGGTCATTGTCCATCTGCACTGTGAATTAATGTTGAAGCATTTGGCTGAATGTGAGTAGACAATGTAGCTGTATACACTACAGAATCCATCCTGCTGTTTTTTACAGGTTTTTTTAGATGTCTTTTTTTGGGAGGGGGGGGTGATAATTGAAAATGTGGCTAGACAGCTAAATAACAATAACTCCATCAACATTTAATATGTGTGACCTAACTGTGTGTACGGTTAAACTTTAGCTGTATAGTAACACTGTCTCATTTTTGATATTTTCCTCTGATGTTTTGAGTTTGCTTTCTGATGTTTCCCAGCTTGAGGGGAACCAGTGGTGAATCCTGACAGTTCAGGTACTTCCTTACTGTATTTAAGCACTTTCTATTTGTATTTCTGTATTTTTGTGTTTCTATGTATACTTTTTCTTCACTTACACTTAATTTCAAAATAAAAGCCCTTTAACAAGTTTTATTCTGCTTAAGTTGTCACATGTTCCCTCAGACCCTGTACATATTCATCTGTTTAACTCCTTTCACATTGGCTCTTTATCATCTACTCTCTTATTCTATTTACTCTAGTTTTTTACTTTTATTTATAAATGTTTAATTTAATGTTTAATTTTGAATATTTGTTTTTAGTTTTGTGCTAGTTTTGTGTCTCACATGAAGAAAACAGTGTCCTTCAGCAGAATTCACCAAGCAGCTGAAGTGAGCTGGGTTGGGTTTGTGTGAATGTTTGAAGAGAAAAAGAATGTCAGTGGGACGTTTGGAAAGCTGTGGAAGGATGGAAGAGTTAAAGTGGCAGCAGGAGCACAAAACTAAAAATTGGACGAATTAAATGTTACTGTACTTACTGTAATTGCTGCTGCTGAGCAATTTTGATAAAATGTAATATAATGACATTCTCCAGATATATCACATTATACAACAGTTAGTTCGGCCACGCAAGCTGATTGGTTGAGAGTCGTTCTAACTGTGCTGTTATTTCACCATAACATCACGGTTTTTTCACAAACACTGTATCACTCCACTGAGACACCGTTGCTAAGCAACGACTTTGACAGCTGTAGGAGACGCTCAAGACATTTGAACATTTTTACTTCTTACTTTGCCACAAACAGAAAATGGACACTTTTAAGATCACATTTGACCAACAGCCTATTTGGTCAGACTCTGAAGATGAGACGACACTAAATTCCCAAACTGTCATCACCACTGAGCAGCTTTTCAGTCGGCAGCTGTGACAGAAGAACAGCTAAACAACCTGGAATCAGCCAGAAATGAACCCAACACCATTCGCCAAACTAAATGGGCTGTAAGATGCTTTACAGACTGGCTGGAACAAAACAACATTAATACTGATCTGGCAAAAACTGACAAAACTGAGCTAAACCTGATATTGCGGCAGTTTTATGGCTCAGTCTGTACTTCTAAAGGCGAGGCTTACAGCAGGCTGAGCAGCGAATGAGCGGAGTTCGTTACTCTGACGTAGCAACAAGCTGCTCGTTAAGGAACTATAATTTGGTGAAGGAACTGCGAACATTAAAACATTAAACGCCGCGTTCACGGCCCAGTTTATTAATTTATTACTGTATTTATTTAACTGTTGTATTAAAGCAATAGAACACTCGAGGAGTGTGTTATCGCCAATAACATCACGGCTGTGATGATCTACAGCGACCAAATCACAGCCGTGATGTTATTTCGCGATAACACACTCCCTCTGTGTTCTACTGCTAAAATATCCCACTGTTTAATATGAACACCTGTTTACAGCACACAGAACTGAACAAACCATAGCAGGTCCGTATTTAACACTGTGAAATTCATAACTTTAATATCTGTGTTGCTCTGTTCTCTCTCACACTCATAGTGATGTGTCGACTCGTGTTGGTGAGCTAAGTCAAATGATCTGACTCACTGACTCCCTGACTACTGTTCCTCTTCTCAGAAGAAGGAGGAAGAATCAAGCAAAGGAAGAAAAGGAGGAATGGAGAGAAGGAGCAGGAGGAAAATAGGCAGCTTATTCTTTTCAACATTATTCAGTTTTCTATTTACTAGTGATAAACTGAGATTTACAACAATTCAGTAGCTCAGGGGTGTAAAGTCAAAGTGTTACAGCGATGAAAGGGTGAAACAGCCACTGTTCAACGACTGTGAAGTTTTATTGTGTTTTACTGATCTTTAGAAGACGCACCATCTCAGCCTAAAGCACAGTGAGTACTCAAACAGCCAGATTACATTTGTTTACATGTGTTTCAGTTTATGGTCTCTCTCTCTCTCTCTCTCTCTCTGTCTCTCTCTCTCTGTCTCTCTCTCTCTGTTTCTCTCTCTCTGTTTCTCTCTCTGTCTCTCTCTCTCTGTTTCTCTCTCTCTGTCTCTCTCTCTCTGTTTCTCTCTCTCTGTCTCTCTCTTGTCTCTCTCTCTCTGTCTCTCTCTCTTAGACAGATGTTGGCTATCTTTATCTGTGTGCTGCCAGGTTAAAACATCTCTTACCTTGTTTCAGGGTTTAGTTTCATATCTGGGAGTTTCCACAGTTTGTGATAAATATAATATAAGCTGATTCAGATCTGGGGACGGTCACAGCACTGCGTTTCTCTCAGTTACTCAGAGACTATGTGGACCAGTTTAATCAAATTTATATATATTAAACTTATATCTGTCTGCTGATTAGGCATCCCATTTACAGATGATGACACACACATCATTCACAATATTTATCTGAATGGAGGAAGTCAGATGTTGCAGCTGACCCTAATGCAGATCAGGGACGGCTGCAACATGTTAAAAATGCAATAGATTTCACTAATTAACTTCTGTTTTTCATCTCAATAAGCACAGTGTTCTGAAAATATATATTGTTTTACAATAATATTATAGAGTTATTGATTTAGTAATATTTGTGACTGCCCTGACTGTCCTGACTGTCCTGTCTGCCTGATTATATTTGAGGCTCGTTCCAAAGCACTGAGTGGGTGCCCTCTGCTGGTAACTCTCTTCATCACTACTGGCACTGAAAACAAACAGAACACAGTTTCAACTTTTGGTGATTTATTCACCGTATGATTTATTTACAAATTAATATATTGAGGCCACGAAACTGTGTGTCGTAAATATGTTAATTCATGGTTTCATGGCCAAATTCTGACATTTGATGTTTACACTTCATTTCTTTCTCTCACACCAGGGGAGCACAAACTTTTGCATACGACTGTATTTACTTCAGTTGTTTAAAAAAGAAGGCTGTAGAAATCCTCTGAGTGATTTCCTTCTTTACATGTTTACTTTGTTTGAAAATCTGTAAATCAGTAAATCATCATTACTGCACCAAAACCTGCAGTCAGTCACACGTGTTCTTCTTAATGATTATTATTTTAATATTAGTTCAGTGAATATGTGGAGTAATTCTGTGGGAAAACAGCAAATTTCTGTTAGGAATAAAAATTATTATCTAACAACAAGTTTTAGCAATGATTTCCTTGTAAAATGTGGAATATACTGTGAAAATTAGAGAAAACAATCCTTTCCATCTTCTTCTAACATGTTCCATGTTGTATTGCAGTGATAGTTGGTTAACCCCCTCATCATCCATACAAATTTATACATAGTGTTTTCTCTGCTTTACACCTGATCCAACTAATCAGCTCAATAACAGCCCATTAGTGAGTTACAGTGAGTGTGTTAAAGCAGACAAAGCACTAACATGTGCTGGACAGTGGGCCTCCAGGACGGAGGTTGAGAAACACTGATTTACATTGTTAAATATATTATATTATTACCGAACAAGCTGATAATAGCATCTATCTGTCTCTGCTAATAACAGTGTTAAGGCCTGCCGGAAACATTTTATTCCCCTTTAAAGCAGATGTGGTCAGCATACAGTCTGTTGTGTGACTGACTGGCTGAACGACAGTGCATTTAAGTCTAAGTGCTTAATAACCTCAGTGATGCTGGGAATTTTGAGAGAGAAATTCAAGGGAGAAAAAATAGTAGTGGCCTATATGGTGAAAATGTAATTGCACCCTCCTGGTTTCTTCTGTTTTTGCCAGTTTGTCACATTTAACTTTTTAAGATCTTCAAACAAGGAGAAGGTGAGTAAACACACAATACAGTTTTCAAATAATCATTTCATTTTTGTAAAGAAATTACCCAACACAGGCCAGAAGGAAGGTTTCAGAGTGGCCTAGTCAAAGTCCTGACCTGAACCCCACTGAGATGCTGTGTCAGGATCTTCAACAGGCACTTCATGCTCAAAAAGCTCTCTAATGTGGCTGAATTAAAGCAGTTCTAAAAGAAGAGGGGAACAAAATTCCTCCACAGTGATGTGAAACACTGATTTCCAGTTATAGGAAGTGTTTGGTTACAGTTTTAGAGGGCAGTTACTTTTTCACACATGGGTGATAGAGGTGTTGCAAAACTTTCAACCCCTTATAATCACAAGATTATTACATACTAAGACTTATTATTCAGTAACTACAGGAATTTCAATGCAAACTGACTGAGCTGTTCTTAGATTATAATAGTGTGTAATACAACTTTGGGCCATAAAAGGGGTTAAAAAGGTCTCTTCTCTCCTCTCCTGGTCAGTACTGATGGTGTGTGTGTGTGTGTGTGTCTGTGTGTGTGTGTGTGTGTGTGTGTAGGTCAGACATGCAGTCCTGCAGTTCTGCTCTCTGTGTCCTGATCTTACTGACCACTACTGTTCTTGTTGCTACATGGGATCTTACTGGTCTTCTTACTGGTTTGTGAATCAGATTTTCTGTAAGCAATGTTGGTATAAAAAATTTCGATCATTAATATTAAACTCACAGATTATTGTAACAAAACTCGTGACTGAAATGTGAACCTCTGATTGTAAACAGTTCTCTTGAGTTCACATGATGTCGAGCCCCGGCCAATACATGTACAAGTACTTCATTTCTGTACTGTATTTCTGTCACTTAATGTGATACTTTTTATTTCTACTCACTACATTTCAAAATAAAAGCTGTACTTTTTACTCCCTACATTTTCAAAACAGGCTTGTTACTTTAGTTTTATCAAGCTATTTATTTATTGATTTATGTATTTTTTAATCAGACTATTGTATTCAGGCACCCAGTGAAGGGCATATCAGAATTGTACTGGATGTGAAATGGGGGAGGGGTAGGAGGAGCAGAGTGAACCTGTGATTGGCTACTGTGTTTGAAATAACCTGCATCCCAGGCCTTAATCAATACCGGACTGCCAGTGGGCCGTTTACTGTGAGCTAATGTATAAACTCACACATATAAGCAGTACAATGGTCAAACTATACTACATCCAATTGTATATCTGTAGTAATTTGGGGGTTAAACCAGCCACTCCCACTTCAAGTGAGACAGGCCTGGTTTACTGATTGTTAATGAGACTCGTACAGAAGAAAGAGCTTCATTTACACCTTAAATGATGTAGTAGTTACGTTCAGGACTTTTCAAGGTGGAACAAAAATCTGAATAAGCTGACTTCAGCCTCGAGAGATTAGTGCGACTGTGTGATTCTAGCCACAATATTATCCAGTCTGGTGCTGACTGACAACAGGCAGCTCTACAGAGTTCATCACATCTGCTTCAATCCTTCAGTTTGTTATCAGCCCAAAACAAACATCTAACCTTACTTCAGTGTATTGAGTCACAGGTAAGACAGAAATAGACCATAAACATGTTTGATGCTTGTTGTGGCAGGATGCCTTTGTCTACAGTGATTAGGTTTATGTTTTTAAGATCGCTGTGTTGGTTTTCCTCATTGTCGCACAGCTGTTTGATTTAACTTCCATATTTTCCACTGTGTCAGTAATCTGTGTTTTTGGCTTCAATAATTATCAGGTTTTAAGTTTGTACATCTTTAACTTTGTATATGTACTAACTTTGTGTACTTTTTAGATTCTTGTAAAGGAAATCAAACATGTAAACTTGTTTGGCTGCTTTAGACAAGCAGATGTTTGTGAATGATGATGCATGCAGTTCTAGTATAAACCATTATGTACGCTCAGTTTCATGGAAGTGTATCTTTAACTCTCAATGAAAAGATTTCCTGTTTAAACAATCGAATCAGAAATTATTTTTAAATAAATATTTTTTCTTTAAGAACATTTATAAACATGCACTTTTGTACTTCTGACACCTCTGATGTGGTACTTAAAGTACTGAGGAGGAAGTTAGTTCAGTTACTGATTAATTTATATTTATCCTTTTGTTTGATTCTGTCTTTCAGTGCCTCTGTCAGCTGATCCTCCAGTGAAGGTGAATCTTCATGACTCTGCTACTCTGCCCTGCTCTGAGAGATGCTCTGGTTTGGTCAGATGGACTGTGTTCCATAAACGCAGTGACACTCTGGCTGAGTGTGATCAGACTTCATGTAGATCAGTGAAGGAGGGATATCAGATGATCCATGATCAGTACCTGAATGGGAATCTCTCTCTCACCATCACTGACGCTGATTTCAGTAAGAGAGGCTGGTACACGTGTGACTGTGATGGTAAAGATCTCTGTGATCTGAAGCTCCTGATTGAACGTAAGTGTCCATCTGGTTTTTCAACTGACCGTTACTGACAGAACTCCAGTGATTTAGATGCTGAGATTTATATCAGATTTGTTTTTTCTCCTCAGCGCTGAACACCACAGTTCAGATAGAGCCTGGAAAGTCTCTGGTGCTGGAATTGGACGTATCAGATCCAGTGGAGGTGCTTTATAACAGCACAGATGCAGCTGGACCATCCAGTGGTCAGATCTGTACAGTGGATGGACGCTCAACGCAATGTAGAGAAGACTATAAAGAAAGAGTGTCGGCTGCTCTTGAGCTGAGAGCAGTGATTCCGTCTGATAGTGGAGTTTATACTGTAATGGACGAAAGGACTGACGAAGTCATTCACACCTACACAGTGACCGTGGGGTCAGCAGGGGGAAGAGGTATGCTATTCTATGATCTCTGAACCGAGCAGGAATCTGCTGCTGAGCTTTAATGATGGTGTTCAGTTAAAACTCACTGTATTACAAACCTGTGTGTGTTTGTTTTGTAGGTGACCATCCAGATCTAGATAAGGGAGCTGCTGTATCAGCGTGGAGTTTTACACTGATTGCTGTACTCCTAGTCATCTGTGCGGTATCAGTGGTGGTGATTGTGCGGCTGAAGAGAGAAATTCAGCAGCTCCGGATGAAGGCCGAGGTTTTAATGAATGGACACAGTGACCACGGTCCAGAAATAGAGAGACTGTCACCCCCCAATAATGTCCAGGGAGTCTGAGAGATCATCACTAATCAGTAATCTAAATCCTGCTGTCTGTTTCTCTGTTTATGACAATAAACTCTTGAATCTTGTATCTGTTTTCATTGATGTTCACAACTGAGGCTTCTGTTATTTTGTGCTGGTGCTCCAGTACTTCAGATTGCATTTGTAAATATTTTTTTAATTCAATGCACATTTTGTTTGTTTTGTTCATATACATCTTAAATAGCTCTCTTTACCAATCAAAATCATCTTACGCAATTCTGTTCACCAGTCAAAAGCATCTTACATGACTTCATTTGACCAATGAAACGCACTCATATGTATACTGAAAACTACAGGTACCTAGCTATTGACAGCTGTGGGCTCTGCGGAACCACTGATTTCAGCTCGTTGCTGGACTGCGATGGCTCAAACAGACGACACTGTGGAAGGAGAGCACCCTTGGCCTCATATCGAGACAATGTTTTCTCTACAGGCTACCAAAACCAATAGTTATGTCATGCTCTGCCTTCTCTGCCAGCCTAAAAACATGGACCTTTCAGCTTTCAAGAACATCCAACCTGAGAAAACATGTTGTGGTAAGTAATGACTTTGGCTAATGGGGTGCGGAGGAGTTAGCAGCTAGCTAACTGTGATAGGTGGCTAACTAGTGAGCAAAGAGTATTATGCAGGACACTGATGTTAAAACTTGTTTTATTTTAGCAGTGATTGTATTAGTCATGTTAATAGTGACCACTGCACACAAAATAATCTTGTATTTTCGTTCACTTCTTGAGTGAGCTAAGTTTGACAGTGCTTTCTCTAGCTGGCTTTTTTTTTTAAACGGGCCTTTGTAATAAGTCTGTTTTCAACCCTGTAGCCTAATTTTAAACTTTGTTCTTCAACAGTGGGTTCATCCCAACAAACTGAAGACATATTCTCAATTAACAGAGTCTAGAAAGCAAAAATCGCCATCCGCTGTGGAGCCTTCTATGAAGAACACAAAGCTCACAAATGCATTTCCCTCTCTGTCCGAAAAGTAATGCAAGCAACGGTAGATAAGTTGTTACTTAATTCTATTTGTGAAGGCACCCGACCATTTTCTGTGGTTGAACTACCATCATTCAAGAGAATGATAGAAACATTGCAGCCTCAGTGTACAGTCATGACAAGGAAAACCTTATGCTCGAATATACAAGAATCTGCCCAGATAATGAAGAGCACAATCATCAAGAAATTGAGTACCGTGGACCATGTTGCTACCACAACGGACTGCTGGTCTGTAAGACAGCGTAATTACTTGGGTGTCACCTGTCAATGGATTGACCCAACCTCTTTAGAGAGGAACTTGTTTGCCCTTGCCTGCAGACGCATGAAAGGTCCACACACCTTTGATGTTCTTGCTTCTGCATTAGAGGAAATACATTCAGAGTACCACATCAGGGAGAAGACCACCAGGACAATTACAGATAGTGGTTCAAACTTCTTGAAGGCATTTCGAGGGTATGGGGAGGAAACAGAAGAAGTCACTGATGAAAAGGAGGGAGATGTCCTGATAATGTGTCAGAAGATGAAAATGATTTATAAGTGGAATACCAAGATGTATCTGCTGTTTTGAATGAAGACACTGGTCTTGAGTACCAGCTTCCAAGGCATTAAAAGTGTGCATGCCATCTCCTGAATCTTGTTACTACAGTTGATGCCAATGCTGCAGAAGCTAGCAACGAGACATATAAGAAGCGATCTCGGTCTGCTTTTGCGAAATATAATGCCCTGTAGAATAAAACAAGCAGATCAGCCATGGCTTTTGAAACAGTAGAACGTCAATGCAAACTGCAGGTCCTTCGCCTCAGTCGTACATGTTGGAACTCCCTATTCCTTGTTGTAGAAAGGATTGTGCGCATCCAGAGGGAGCAAGGAGAAAAGGCAATCCGCAATGTATGTACAGCACTAAAGATAAAGATGTAAGTTGCCAGAATTTGCTGGATATTTATTTTTTCAACTTTGCTACAATGTTTAAATTGCAATTGAGTTGTTAAACTTTGATATTCAAATTATGTAACCACTGTTTTTGTTTTATAGACTGAACCCAGCTGAAATGGGATTTTTGGCTGAGGACACTGCTGTAATGAAACCTGTTGCCATGGCCCTTGACATCCTCCAAGGAGAATCCTCTGTTCATATAGGTTTCCTGCTGCCAACACCTTCTCAACTGCAGGAGAAGTTGAAGAAGCTAGAGTCATCCTGCAGAGTCTGTAGACCCCTGCTTACAGCCCTACAGACAGGAATTCAGAAGCGGTTCAGAGAGGTCTTGCAAGATCCTGAGCTGATTGCTGCAGCTATACTTCTACCAAAATTCAGAACATCTTGGACAGAGGAAGTCATCTTAAAAGCTGGTAATATATCTTAAAGTACATTCAAAAGTGATGTGTGCATTAATAAATGGCAAAAATGTAAACAGGAGAACAGTTGTACAAGTAAAACGCTGAGTAAATACCTTTGTGCAATTTGTGAGTGTTTGAATTTTGTTACTCCACCTCTATAGACTTTGTAACAGAGATGGCTCCAAAAAACATCTGTAACTGTATGTTATTGTACTGTAAATGACTGTAAAATTCTTTTCAAACATGTGTCTTGGCATAGGGCTTGACTACATTTGGAATTACCTTGAGAAGAACTTGGATGAGGATGTTCTTGCAAACAGTAGCCATTCCGATGAAGAAGGCTTCTTTGCATCTATGAAGTCAGGAGAGCTGGAGAGGTACCTTTCACGCTCATCCGTGGGGAGTATGGCTACTTTGCATTCCTTTCCTCAAATTAAGAATCTGTCAATCAACGTCAACACAAGCCTTCCAGCATCTGCAGCATGTGAGAGACTGTTTACTCATGCCGGACTATTGTTGACAGCAAAAAGATCAAGAATTCACTGTAAACATCTTGAAAACCAACTGCTTTTAAAGCTTAACAAGTGCTAGGTGTTTTAAGATATTATACACAAGAATGCAATTTTACCAACGTTTCAGTCAACATAAATTTCAAGATATGACTGCAAGAAAAGTCAAGAGTTCATACATTGTATTGCACATTGCATTTGTTTCAGAAACTGTTTGCAAAATGGGAGTGATGAGAGTAAAATGATTGAAGATAACATTTTTTGTTCACCTGTCATATAAAAGCCAGAGTATAAGATCCAAGAGTTTGAACTTACTGTAGTAGGTTTTGTGGATCTGTAATTACTTTATTCATGTTATTTATGTTCTAAAAGATTTAATTTATTATTATCTGTTGTTTTAAAAGGGTATAGGAATTGGTCCTTATTTGAGTTTGCACACGGCTAATTAACATTTTGTTTATTGTATTACAATAGTTTGAAGGGAAAACATGTTTTGGACATTCTTGATTTGCCGTTTGTATGTGATAAGTAAGTCTATGATTCTGCAGTTCTATTATGATTATTAAATGAAATTGGTGAAGTAATTCTGTACTTGAGTAGTCTTTTTGCTAAATACTTTCTTACTTTTACTTAAGTAATAATTTTTGTTATGACTATGTTTACTTGAGTAATCATTATATTAAAGTAACAATACTTTTACTTGAGTTCAGTTTTTGGCTACTCTACCCACCTCTGCTCCTCATCTCTGTGAATGTTTCAGTTTTTAAACAGTAGCCACACTTTACAGACGGTCCCTTACCCTCTTCAGTGCTGCTGCAGCGATTCTGGCTATTTTGATCAAATGTGCTCGTTGAAGTGGAGAGATTGGGAACAGTGGTGCAATCTAATGATTGTGGTTTGTTGTCTGTTTCAACACGACTTAGAAAATTTAGTGTGAAACGTTCCCAGGATTAGGCGCAGTCTATACATGATAAGAGATAGGTGTGACAGACGTGACCATACAGGGACAGACAAAAATAGGCTGGACAGAATGTTGTAGGTACATATATACCACATGCACAAAACTGAACATAACAGCATATAATAGCAGTAAAAGAATGTTGTGTTGTTTCACTGTGTACTTGTATGTAGCTGAAATGACAATGAAGCCTGGCTTGACTAGTATACAGGTAAAGACATATAACGTATAGTCAACTCTAAGAAGATCAACATACCATATACTTACCTATCAGGCTTGTTCGAGATGAACTGCACCTCCCCTCAGTGGTCAGGAGGAGGAGGGTAGAAAAGAGCTGTCCAGTCGGACAGTCGCCACATGAAACCCACATGAACTGGTGGTTCTCACGGCATCTGAGTTCTTCATACACTCAAAAAAATGTAAGCCCGAAAGTTAAAACGTATGTATTTTCATTACATGTCAATTTTCCATTCAATTTAAATACATACATCCAAAGTAAAAAATGGTATTACAATTTATGTTTCTCCATCATGTTCAATAAACGTGAATGAATTATAACATTTAAATTAGAAGTGCTTGTAGGATTTATGCAATTCTTTTACATGACATTTATGTATTTGTAAACAGTTAATAGTACCTTCTGTATTCACAGCACAATGACTTAGACTGTGTAAATGTAATAAATGACAAAACATGTTAAATTCACAAACATTTATTGTCGTCCAAACTGTATTAAACAGTATTTGCTGAGGCTCATTACACGACACATGTAAAATTTAAAGTCTAATGAGAAAGAAATAAACATAACTTTATATATTTCAGCTGTGATCAAATTCCCTGCTTTAGAATTTCTATTCAATCCCAACTGAACTACTAATTAAAGCAGATGTTTATGTGCACAATATTCCTATTGAGGTGCAGCTCTCATGCTAACCATTGGGCAAGTTAGCTAGCTAACGCTATCGGTTACTTCATGCCATGCTAATATGTCAAGGTCACCTACAGCTACAGAAACCATGAACTGCTGATTTGAATATTAATGGAATACAACTTTATATACTGCTTCACAATAAATCATTGCCATCGTTTATTTAATCTACCTTTTGTACCCGTTAACATGACAGCAGACCTAGCAAGAATGCTAGCTAGCTAGTTCGCTGGTGTTGTCTAGAGTATCTCTCAAAATAAGCAAAATGAACATTAACATGGTCA